TAAGTGCTCTCCAAACAATGGCCGATACATGTATCGCCCTTAGAAAAAATGGCCGATGTATACATCGCTCTTAACCACTGAGCAGCCGATGAGATGGGTATCGTCGCTGTTTGGTTTTAATTTATTTGATTAAGTGTTTTTAGGTTTATGTATCATTCACCTGAAAACAGGGGGGCATATGTTGACAACCAAAAATGTCCATTTTGTGAAGTTGTCAAAATGTGAAACTGACTTCACCATTGCGTTCCTCTCGTCGAGACGGTCAAAAAACATATATGGAACATCTAATTTGAGGTCTGGATGAAGAAGTTATGCCCACGAAAAGATGTCTCGTTGTCAGGAGTTCCGACCCAAGTCGGGACTTTCGGGAAGCCTGAAGAAATATGCTTGGGTGTCTAGGGTTATCCCTACGTCAGGAGTTCCGACAAAAGTCGAAAGTTCCGACTGTTGGGAGTTCCGACCCAAGTTGGGACCTCCAACATACCTAACAGAAAATCCTGTTCGGATCTGGCCTTTTGGATTCTGATCCGAACTGTTCCAAACTCATAGGAAACTTGGAAAATAAGGCTTAGAGAGGTTTCCTACTGGGATAAGACCACCCTCTCTCTCTATATAAGAGGATCATGGCCGATTGAGTTACCATCTATCCAATCGTCAAACAAATCAATCTACTACCTCTACTCCAACTCTTTTGCCCTCTTCTTTAACCCCCATGCTGTTCATCCCTTGATCCGACGACCAAGGATGGCGCCCTAGGCTTGCCGGCCGACCTAGGACAACCCGACGACATCCTTGCCCTGACGAGGTCCCTCCCGGGCGAGAGCTTCGACGGTTTCTTTGCTAGTTTGCCTGAAAACTAGCCGGTTCTTCGTCACGTAAGCACGTTGGTTATCCTTTGGTGGTTTGCTTGTAAACCTCTCTGTTCTTCACCACGAAAGAGTGACATCCTCGCTGCATTCTTCGGTCTATAGCGGCCCGACGTCCAAGGCCCTATTGGTGTTTGATTCGGATCACTTCCGACGTCAACACACACTTTACACATAAAGTTGATTACATGTTCTCATATAAGTTGTCTCAAGGATTTTGTATATATGTGCCGTGTGTATGTATGTGCATCAAGACATCAATAGAATACTGAGGGAGGAAATATGTTTTGTTCATTGTTGAAGGAAATTCAAGCAATCCACCTCTTGTGTTAGGAAAAAGTACTTGTGCTTGACATATCAGTATATAACAAACACGACCTCCTACAGGAGGTTATATGATTCCTTAAACTTTTACATGGTATCTAAAGCTGAATCTTCCAAACACATCTGACAATGGTGAGCTCATCTTCATCATTGTCGATGCTGCCCTCCTACTTCCAAGAAGCCTACACAGGAGAACTTTCTTCTACAGAAGGCTCAAGTCCTCCCTACAATTCAAGGGTGAAAATAATGGATTACCTAGGTGGAGAAGATTGCACCGCTAGAGAAGATGCTTCACATCACCAACGACGATAGGAAAATGAAGACCCTCGCAAAACTATAATACTTCACTACATTGTGTGGTGCCTTGTCTACACTTGGGTTGTATATTTGATGTTGTACTAGTGCACTGCACTGCTAAAGCAACTCGATGGTGAGCATGAGATGCTCTAGAGGTGTGTTTTCTCGTCTCAACAGTACTCGCTCCAAACCTTTGAGCAACTCTAAAAGAATTATGAAGATCGGGCAAGTAGCTTTTGTTTTAATGAAAGGAAGTAGCACAAGCTCAGTCACAAAAATCATAGAAAATCAATTGCCAGAGTGGCTTATCTAATCTATAGATTGACTGGACTAGCAACACAAACGTTCACTCTCCTACTATCCTAAAAAATTACATCAGCGTCCAAAGATCACCACCGCTGCCCCAGACATAGCCAAGAAGAACCTCATAGATTTTCTCTCAAGTTTTTTTGCGACAATTCAAGACTTCAAGTGAATCCATGAACTGTCAGTAAATGACCCATGTACCCTCCTACTATCCTCAAAAATTACATCAGCGTCCAAAGATCACCACTGCTGCCCTAGACATAGCCAAGAAAGAACCTCATAACTCGAACTGTCAGTAAATGACCCACGTACCCACGTATTGTCAATCCGCAGTCAACCTAATTGACTGGTCAGCGCGACAGAGTCCATCCAAAATCTGTTTATATGACCTAGCTCCGCACATAGAACGGGCCTATGTACCGCGTTGCACCTCTTTTACACTTTCGCCCTCGCTTAGTGTAAAAGGGTCAACCCGGAGGTGTTACGTTTGGCACGACAACAAGGATTATAAGCTAGCCCTCACTCTCCTAAACTTCTAAGGTAGTACTTTTTTTAGCAGATTCTATGGTGGTACTAAACCCACCAACTACAACTCATGTGTCACATGGGCCACATGGGCCAACAACACAACTACGTACTACAGGCTTCTAATGAGCTGCGGTGTTACATCTAGTGACTTTGCAAACATGCAAATGTTGTGTTGTCCAATTCTCACGCCCCTCTTTGCCCACCGGTAAGCTCGAAGTGGACTCAAGACCACCAGACTCAGCCCTCCTTCTACTCATCTCACTAGTCACTACTCTCCTCTCTCTCTCTAGAATAAAAGAACAAGGGTGAAGATGGGAGGAAGAGGAGGGCGGGTGGAGAAATTGAAGAAGCCCATGCTTGATGAAGAATAAGATGAAGCTCAGGACCTTGATATATCGTGTGTCTCCCTCCTTGTGTGGTTATATCTTTGCTTGTTCTAGTGTAAACTTGTTTACCTTTGTTCTCTACTATGAGTAGGAGCTCTCTAGTTTGCTTGATGTTCTAGTTGCCTAGGTTGTTTGACCTTGCTTACTAGAATTGTGTAGGAGCTTTGGCTAGTCACCCTAGTTGCCGCTTTGCTTATCTTGTGCTAGGATGCTAGTGTTGTTGTAGTAGGGTCAAATCGTTGTTCAACATTAATTTAGTTCTGCATTTATTTTGGCTAGGAATTGCAATTAGTTTTAGAAATAACTATTCACCCCCCTTCTCTAGTCGGTCCCCTTGATTGGACAGGAACAAGTGGTTTGGTTCAGGAATGAGTTCATCCGTCCTCACGCCATTCTCTTTCGTTCTCCAGTTTCTCCTTCGGTTTGGCCGAGGCCAGGGGCAAGGCGGTCGGAGAATTGTGTTTGTCGCTTTCTTCTTATTACCTCCTTCCATTTTCATCATCTTCTTCCGTTAGGCCAGGGCTGGAGGGACAGGAGCCGAGGTGGTTGGAGGCCATTCGAGGAGCAGGTGCGGAAGCATGGGTTCCTCTTCCCATTTGACCGGGGCTTGAGGTAGGGTGGGCGAAGGCAATTCTAGTCTAGAGGAATGGGCCTAGAGGCCTAGGAGAGCACAGTTAGAGGAGCGTGGGCGGCCTCACTCGATGCCGACAACAGGGTGGGCGAGGCGGGGTAGAGGCCTCACTTGGTGGGGGCGGAGCCATCAGGGGCGGGCCTACATGTATTCAAGGGTATTCAACTGAATACCCAAAAATTTCGCCAAAACCTTTTGTATATATAGTGTATATATGTAGGTGTAGGAAAAAACAAAATAAAGCCAAAACAAATAACATGTTAAGAATTCAGCCAAAAACATGTATTCTACTACTGCTTTTCCACCCCACTCGATGGCCCAAAAGGCCCAGCAGTACTCTGTAGCCCAACATCTCCCCCGCCGGCAGCACACAGGCGCATCACAACTCCACAAATTAGAGACATCGGCACATCACCTGCTCGTGCTCGCTCAGACACTCCTTTTCTCTCCTGTTTTCTTCCTAAACCCCATACCTACCGCCTACCGATGGCGGTGGCTGAGCAACGGACTCGGGCAGTGGCAAGGCACATTGGCACGAGGCGACGACAACAAAATTCACGCTAAATTTTTTGGTACATATACAACACAAACTTGGGTTTGTTTGTACTTGATTTAAAATACCAAATTTCATGTTAAATTTTACTATTGCTTACTGGATTTCTAAATAGATTTCATCGATTTACATATGAAAATTTTAGTGTTGCATACCTACAAAATTCTAGATCCATCATTGGATTTTACATTGTAAAAAAATGATTCGTCTTCACAATTTTGAATACCCACGTTCAAAATCTTGGGCCTGCCACTAGGAGCCATGGGCAGGGGTGGAGGGAGGTGGCGGAGTGGGGGCTAAGGCTGGGGTTAGGGTGGTGACGGACTAGGTGACCTAAGGAAGAAGAAGGTGAGAGAGAATAACATGTGTCTAACAAATCACAAACGGACATGTATCATCCCATCCTGGTTAGCCGCTCCAACCAAACATGGAACCGAGATGGCTCCAACCCCTTCAACCAAACACCAGACTAGGATAATTCCAACAAAAAAAAACTAGAATGGACCCATCCCATCCCACTTCATAATTTGAAAGTGAACACACCCTAATTATGCAGAGCAACCGTACGTTGGTTACACCTGTATTATAGGATGGGACCAAGGGTGCCATCCATCCAGTTCATTATCAATCTCAATTATAGCCTCGCCTCTAATTTCTTTTAAGGATAGACAGGCGGAGCCTGCTCATCTCTAGCTGGTAGCTAGCGGTTCGCACTTCATAGTCGTAGCTCTTTTCTCACATGTGTAGTATGCCAGCTACTCCATGTACGTAAGGCTCGTTTGGCATAACTTCGATGGCTCTAGCTACCTACTGTAGCACATGACTAAATGGCTTTGGCCCTAGTAAAACATAATTGAAGGAACCAGAGAAAAGCTGTTGTTTCAGAGTTCGAACTGCTCTACTACACTGCTGCTATATATTTAGCTGGAGCCATGCGAGACTCTTCCAAGTTCCATCTCGGGGCCGTAGTGTGCCTGTGCTCCGGGCACGGGTGCCGCCAAAGACCGGGCGCAGACTGCGCAGTGCATTATTGGTAGTGTATTAGAACTAGAACGGGCGGACGCAAGCACGGGGACGGAGATTGCTGCGAGATCTAGCTGCCCGCCGTCATGGCGCTTCGTCTCCTCCTCCTCCTCCTCTTTCCCTCCTCTCCTCCGTCGCCGGGCTCAGGCGCAGCGACTTCCCGCCGTCCTTCCTCTTCGGCGCCGGCACGTCGTCTTACCAGGTACGGGCCGTGCGGCAGCCGATGCCGAGCTCAGCATGCTAACTCAAACGCACGCATGCATGTAAGCAGTCTGCATGCTGCCATCATTTTTTTTCATCAATTTGCAAACTGAAGGTGGAAGCCAGATTCCTTTGAACGGCTAGATGCTCTGCTCTGGACGTGTGCCTCATTCTCCTTCTATCGTTTCCCCTTTGACTACTCAACGAAACTGTAGCTCTCCATCTAAACCTTTCAATTTTTGTTTTGCTGATCTGATCATACCTGCAGTGCCTGATGATATAGTATGTTAGTTTGGATACTTTCTCCTCTATTGTTTTCCATTTAAATCCTTCTTATGACTATCTTCTACATCTCATTCTAGATTGAAGGCGCCTACCTAGAAGACAACAAGGGCCTGAGCGATTGGGATGTCTTCACCCATATTCAAGGTGCTTCCATAGGTCTCAATTATGCATACGATGATCTAAGCCATCTAAGCAACTCAGTAATAAGGGATATAAGCAAACTATGGCAGCCTTGAGTGGAAGTAGCTACTATACAGTAGTTAAGGAGATTCTAGAACAAGCGATTCGTGCGGATATTTTTCAGTGCTTTTGTTCAAATTACTTGGAGATGTATACATTTAGGAGGTCATTGCACACTGCAGTTTCCTCTCTCTTTTTGTCTCAGTTAAAGCATCTCCATCAACACCCCCTACATCCAATTTGGGTAGTGGAGGGCAAAAACTCAGCTCCAGCAGGCCCCTACTACACCCCTCAGATTTGTTGGCCTTCTATTTTCTCCCTCCTACTACCCATTCTTGTTGGCCACCTACTCCATTATCCAAACTTTTTTTTTCTCGCAACTACTTGGGACGCGCTTCTTCCACGCGACTCCTCCCGACACGGCCATCGTCCCCAGCAACACGGCCTCCCCTAGCGGCGTGGCTAGCCCTGGCCGGCGAGGCCAGCCCCGGCGGCGCGGCTTGCCCTGGCAGCCTGCCCTGTCCTGCGCGGCACGGCCCTGGCCGGCGAGGCCAACCCTGGCGGCCTGCACGCTGCCGACGAACTACTCCCCTGAGATGAACCTGAGAGAGAGGATGATACGTGGGGTCCCACGTGTCATTCTCTAGGAGAATGGTTTTGAGGGGTCCGTTTTAGGTAGTGCTGTTGAAGAAAACAACAAAAAAATGGATAGTGTTGAAATAGGTGGTTACCCAAATCAAGAGGTAGAGGGTCTGATTTGGGTAGCATGGCTGGAGATGCTCTTAGAGAATCATTTCACGCTCTTTTTTTTTTTTTGAACTGGAACAAGGGTTTCCACTGACCAGTGGCTCTGGGCATATCGCCAGAGACCAAATTGGTCACAAATTCGGGACTTGGTCCATGAACACATCAGAACCATAGCGCACAACACTCGCCCCATAAGCAGCAAGGCTATCAGCCACTTTGTTGCAAGATCTCCTGCATGACCGGACCTCACACTGAACAAAAGACCCACTCATGAATTCCCTTATACGGTGAAATATGCAGCCTTCCGGACTCCTATCCATTGAGTCAGACCTCAAAGCCTTCTCCAAATTTGTTGCATCTGTCTCAACAATAATTTTGGTCATTTCCAGTTGTGCCACTCTTTGAAGACTTTTCAAAGCTGCTAGTGCTTCAGCATGTATTGGGATTGTAATAAGTCGCTCAAGATGTCCACATGCCCCCTCTAAGAACTCTCCATTGCTGTTGCGAGCAACAAAGCCCCAACCATCTGACCACGTTGTAGCACGATAGAAAGCATCAATATTAATCTTGTAACAATCAGGTTGTGGTGGCTCCCATTTCTGTTTTTTCTTCGGTCTTTTCTCTCCTTCCTTTTTCTTCAGCTTCTCAAAATCTATGACATAGTAAATCACAAGTGAGCAAATTTCCGCTGCAGACATTCTGTCTGTTGTATAGCAAGTGAACAGTTTTGGCCAACGAATGCATCTTCTGTTTAGAATTGGGAGGGGCCTAAGTGAACAGTTTTGGAAGTAAAGGACCAGATTAGGATGACTCACCGGCTCTGTGCTATAGTAACCAGAGATCCACAGAACGTGGCCCGCTCACAGAGGATCCGTGGTGAATGGTGATAGTGATGCCTAACGCGAAACCCGCGCTGGAGTCCACCCAACTACTACAGTTTTGTGCTGAAAGCCAACCAAAATCATTAATTCACCGCTGATAGACTCGATTCAGGAGGTGGCTGTCCCTGCTATAAACATGTGCACTTTGAAAATCACAGACGTCACTTGATTTTGTTGCCTGTCTTAGTCTTGGCTATTAACCAAAAATCAGGAAAGATTGAGGATGGAAGCAATGGCGACGTGGCCGCTGACCATTATCATCGATACAAGGTAAGCATCATCAGAAACATAAAGACATTTTTATCAGTGCTCATGCAATTTTTTTTAACCCTGCATAAATCAGAAAGATAAAGGGGCCGGCAGTTCCCTCCAAAAAACAGAATCTCACTCAAAGTCACACTGGCAGGAGGACATAGAAATAATTCATTCGCTTGGCCTCGACTCCTACAGATTCTCATTGTCCTGGTCGAGAATACTTCCAAGTGAGCTCATTCTCAGAATCTCATGAGTACACCAACTGTCGATGCCTTTTGCCCCAGCTTCCAGCCCGACAAACACGCACGGAGTCCTTCCTTAATAGCAGCGTTTAACTTAAATTATATGCTTACCTTTCAAATATCCCTGGTCAGAGGGTCGCTTCGGAGGTGTTAATCCGGCAGGTGTTAAATTCTATAACAGCCTCATCAACGGACTGCTAGGAAAAGGTAATGCATTCTTTGTTCTGATGTTATGTGGCCAGCTACCTCTCTCCACAAATGCCATCCTGCAAAACAAGCAAGCCTTTCAGTTCAGTCTCTTTCATCTGGGCCTGGCATTTGATACGCTTGGTTTAGGGATACAGCCATTTGTGACGATCAACCACTATGACATACCCCAGGAACTCCAAGAAAGATACGGCTCCTGGTTGAGCCCAGAGATTCAGTAAGCCCATATCATAGCTTTATCTATGAAGATGCAGTAAGCTCATATGTGGTTGTTTCTGCATTTCTGTTCAGGGAGGACTTCACCTACTTTGCTGAACTTTGCTTCAAGATGTTTGGTGACCGAGTAAAGCACTGGGCTACATTCAATGAGGCAAATTTTCTGACAAAGCTCAAATACTTCATGGGGAAATTTCCACCCAGCCACTGTTCCGAGCCGTATGGGAAATGCGATTCTGGGAATTCATCAACTGAGCCCTACATTGCAGCGCATAACATGATATTAGCTCATGCAAAGGCGGTCAACATCTACAGAAAGTATTACAAGGTACAACAGACACATTTGGATAAAAAGGGAGTGGGGACTAACCGTGTGCTTGCTCTTAAATCCTCATGGAAGTTGTATAAGTTGTTTTCCTTGTTCTCCATCCTTCTCAGGCCAAGCAAGGTGGCTCTGTTGGAATTTCAGTATATATGAGATGGTATGAACCACTAAGGAATATCACAGAGGACCACTTGGCAGTAAGCCGAGCTCTGTCTTTCCAAGCTCCATGGTATCAGTTGATTCAGTAACCTTCCATCATACTAGTATTATACTATTGGAACTGACTTCTTGGTCTTCGTGATTGAATCCTCACTTGATGATATATGCTAAAATAGGTTCCTGGATCCCTTGTTCTTTGGTGACTATCCTCATCAAATGCGCCAAATCTTAGGTCCAAACTTGCCGAAATTCACAGAAGGAGAGAAGCAACTACTGAAAAACCAAATTGACTTCATCGGCATAAATCACTACGAAACATTATACATCAAGGATTGCATATATTCTCTATGTGATTTGGACACCTACGCCGGTGATGCTTTAGTTACTGAATCAGCAGAACGAAATGGGATACCCATTGGAAAACCGGTAAAAGTTGTCCATGTTACATTGCATTATTCTATGCAACAACAATCCTACTTCCAAATTGATTGAAACAACCTAACACTAGTAAATTAATATTGCAGACACCAGTTGCAAACACCTATGTGGTTCCAAGCTCTATGGAGAAGTTGGTCATGTATTTCAACCAGAGATATAAAAGCATACCTTTGTACATCACAGAGAATGGTGGGTTACTAGGTTTGGCAAAATCTACACATTAGCTACAAAACGTGTGCCTTTGTACAGAACAATGGTTCACTTCTATGCATCTTTATATATAGTACACTTGTAGTACACTGGTACCATAATAATATCCGTGTGGACCCTCTTGATCTCCCTTTTTGGTTTTTCAGGTTATGCCCAAATAGGCAATAGCAGCACCACAGCAGAAGAATTAATTAATGATACTGAAAGATCTAGTTACATTCGTGACTACCTCACTTACTTGAGCTATGCAATAAGGTTGTCACATTCCTCAATTATCTTTTCATCTAAACTGCTCTGCAGCCAGGTAATAACAAAACTTTGTTACTTCCTTCCAGGAAAGGAGCAGATGTGAGAGGTTATTTTGTGTGGTCTTTGATGGATAACTTCGAATGGCTCTCTGGTTACACCACAAAGTACGGTCTTTATCATGTGGATTTCAAGTCACTAAAGCGAACACCAAAACTGTCTGCTAAATGGTACAGCAAGTTTATCAAGGGCTATGAACAGATAGAGATGGCCTCTGAAGAATCACCTAAGCATATGGTTTCCTAGAACAGAAATACAGAATTCTCAAGGTCCATGTATGTACAATAATACCCAGTGATTTGATAAATAAAGATGTTTACAAAGGAAATTATTTGGTAAATTTCCTCGTGTCCATGTATGCCAGTGCCATAAACTCTCAACCATTTTTTTTATCAAATATGCATCTAAAGGGAGTTTACTAAAAAGAAAGAAGCAGAGTACATAATCTGACCATCCTCCTTCCTGGTTCAGAAGCCCCCCCATGTATTACTAATATAGCAATAACATGAGGATGGTAACAAGATATTGCATTTTTTGATGGTTTACCTGCGCTTGGTCTATATGTCCAGGTTTTGGTGAAATTCTAGCTTAACAGGGACTGAGAACTCATTGCGAATTCATCAAATATAACTTGCACACATAACTAGTGGCTATCTGGATTAAATTGTGCATTACGCAGTGTGTTAGAAATGTGTCGAATATTTATTTGTACTAATGGGGTTACAGTAGACTTGTGTTGTAATTAGCAGTATAGGGTTAGGTGACTTTGGTGTTGGCTCTTGTAACCTAGTCCCTCTATAAATGGAGGGGGGGCTGCACTTGTAACCCACTTGTGTCATGAGAGTGAAAAGCAACACGGAGTGACAGGCTCGCGGGGGGTGCCGGCGGCTTTGGCCGGTGCCCCGGGCAGCCGGTGTCGCGGTTTCAGGGAGGAGCGCCCGTAAGCATGCCCCGGGGATGTAGGCTTCGACCGAACCTCGTTACCAAATATCGAGTTTCTTGTGCGGTGTGTGTGATCTCTTGTGAGCATCTCGCCTAGGTAGTTCCAAGCAATCACTTCCGTGTTAGGCACTGGTATCACAACAATTGGTGTATCAAGAGCTCCAGGTTGATTTAAGAATCTTAGGAGGCGAGGGAAGAGGTGAAGACTCGAGGATCATGCTCGATGGGTGTCGCGGTGCTGCTTAGGGCGGCGCAAGGTGGAGCATGGCGGCGACCGGTGTTCTGGTTTGGTGGTGTCGGACACTCTAGGAAGGAGTCCCAGACCATCCGATGGGCTGCAGTTGGTGAGGATAGGCCAGACGTGGCAGTTGGACCGACATAGTGCTTGTTGAAGGCGGCATGGGGAGGGTCGACTGGCTCGCAATCCGTACTGGCAGGGCCAGACGTGGTGGGAGCCGGGTCGACCGGAGTGCGGGAGCACCGCGGTGATGGTGGTGGGACCGGGTGTTGCACAGAGGCTACGTCACAACACAGCAAGAAGAGGGTGTCGATGATGCGCAGTCATGGTGCAGCATGTCTCGTGCACAGGAGGTGTGTGAGGGCGTCTTGTCGCGGCAGGGCCTGAACGCACACAGATGGAACACGCTCAACACGGCCTATGACAGAGATGCAAACATTGTTGTCGGAAAGATTGGCGGCGTGGGAAGCGTGGTTCACTACAAACTTCTGACCCTTGCGCAACGACGAAAAAACATTGCAATAGGCCTAATTTGGTTGCAAAAGGTAGATGTTGCAACCAAATCGTGTTCGTTGCCAATGGTTGCAAAAAGTCACGTTGCTATAAGGTATTGTAACCGTTGCTACTTTGACGTTGCGACTGTTGGGGCCTTTTGCAACCATAGCTGTCCGTTGCTAAGCATGGCAATAGGACGTTATCGCAACTTTCACGGTTGTCGTAATATAAGCACTTGCCACGCCCATCTTCGTAGCAAGAGGTGGTACATGCAACGATCGATAGCGTAGCAATAGAGATATTTGCCATGAACAACGTCGTTGCAATAGTCTGTATTGCCACACTAGAATTTTGTTGCCTAAGGTGTTATTGCCATGACCGCCATGTCGTGGCAATTACACCATTTGCCACGTAGTTTGATTCGTTGCGAGAGATCATACGTTATTGCCACGACCGTTGTGCCATGGCAATATTACCATTTGCCATGCAATTTTATTCGTTGCGAGAGATCTTATGTTATTGCCACGGTAGTCATGTCGTGGCAATATTACCATTTGCCAATGCAATTTTATTCATTGCTGCAGATCATATTGCCACGCAAGTGAGTTCGTTGCCGTAGATCATATTGCCACCCATAGCATCTCGTTGGCATAGTTTGTATTGCAACGCTAGTAGCATTCAACTTGTTGTTTAATAAATCATCATTGCAAAAACAATAAACCATAACAAAACCAATTGGACTCACATATATTAATTATAATCAATCATTCAATAAGTAGACATACCATTGTAGTACTAAAATCACAAACGAATGTACAGTACATAGAATTTCAAGACTATTTAAAAAATTGCAGCAGTACAAGACTTCCTAACATCTATTGAGCACTTGCAAACTTCCTAGCAATGCAACCTGCCATAATCTCGATTGTGTCTTTGCTAGATTACTGCTAGATTCTGAGCCTCCCACGCAAAATTTGTCCACCTATTCACCAAAAGAATAAGATTGGGATATTAGTAAACTAGACTTAGTAATTCATACACATAATGTAAATAAATTTGGATACAACATGTTTCATCCATTTAGCAATCAAATTCTTTACAAACTTGAGATACATCCTTTTGTCAAGCCATTAACAGGTATTGACAATTATCCATCGATCCATAAACCAACAGTAGGTAACTAAAATATCATGCACATATACAACCAAATATATATCACAATAACCTACCATTTTAACAAAATATGAACTCAAATGCTCACCTCACTTTCCAATTCAACAGCAAGCCTAAAGAAGCTTAGGTGTGACTATCTGAACTTCACATGATGTGCAAATGGTTCTTCAGAGCCTTTCCCCAGAAGCTAACTTAAATTGACCCTTAAACAAAGCAGAAAAGCAAGGCATCATCAATGGCACATAACCTGGTAAATTCAAGTACATGTTATAGTATCAGAAATTCAGCATGATATTTTAGTACAGGAAAATAATCTGCTATTCAAGCTGAATAGTTTAAGGATGTATCCGAGTGGCCATCAGCACAAGCACAATAAATATCTTACTAGCAAGTTCCAGATATAACAACAATTTTACTTGCATTCGAAAAGGTATGCACATGCATTCACATAGAAAAATTGGCATACAACTTTAATAAGCAAATCTGCCTGATTGTCGATACATTTGTTTCCAGCAGTTTAATACAGGATTGTTTATACGCTGACAAGTTGGAATCGACAGTCATTCATTAATCATGTCACTGAAAAATCATGATTATCGATACACTTGTTTCCAGCAGCTCAATATAGGATTGTTTATACGGTGACATGTTGGAATCGATAGTCACTCATTAATCATGTCACTGAAAGCCCACGACACTGAACATCCCTTATTGGAGAATGGGTGGCTTACCTAGGATCATTTCTTGCCAAAATCGATAATGGTATACTTGCACAGATGCTGTCAACGACCAAAAATAAAACTTGAAAAGCAACTCTAAATAGCGAGAAATGGACTATAGCTCGACCACTGACCCATATATATAGAATAATGACACATAAAATTGCATGTACTGAAATGATTCACATCTCTAGGGCCATGTTTGGCAACTACATATAATTGGTAAATAATGCACAAATATTTTTTGTTTGAGATAGTTAGGACTTCGATTAAAAAAATATTTCAGTCAAGAAAATTTAAAACTTGCATTATAGATCTGCACACTGAAGGCCATATAAAAGACCACTGAAGATAAGTCCAGCTGTAAGTGGTTTTAGACATTTTCGTATCCAAATTTCAGAATATTGTGTACATTATATCGAAGAACTTACTCAACAGCCGCGGAGGGGGTACAAAAAAGGAAATTTCACCCCTCTGCCAGTCATGAAGTGCCATCTTGGCTGCTGTTGTCAGATCAGGCTCCCCACCCAACCCTGAAACAAAAATGTACTTATTAGATTAGGGTAAAGAACATCATTACTATTTACTATGTGAATGAATAATTCATACTGTGCCTTTCTAACACAGGAGTAATATAGAAATTTGTAATAATCTGGTTAAATATCCATTTTCCTACAAATTAGGTGGCAGAAATATTTGGTACAAATATAGCAATATATCATCAGATATTAACAACGCATGCAATGCCTTAAGAAGTTTCCCCAGTAGTCCTGCACAGCTGGACGAGAAAATTTTATCATCAGCCCTGCAGAAAAAAGATAAATCCAGCATTAGATTTATCATCAGCCCTGCAGACAAAGATAAATCCAGCATTAGATCGTGCCATGGGTTTGGCATATGATATTCATAATCAACAAATAGATGCACTTAAAATGTAAGGGGAGAACATGTTTGAAGTGTAACTATCGAAAAACAGTAGTACACCAAAAAAGAAGGTGCCAAATGACCATGCTAAATTTAACCATCTGATGGTGAGTTAACAATTTAGGCAACTACTGAGTCATTCAGTGCCAAATTGAGTACAAATAAGTGGCCACAAAAAAATAGTACAGTCAAACTTAGAATCAAATGGACAGCAACACTTTAGTCTGGACTCTGGAGTAGCCAGCTATTCACTGCACCAGACACCAGAGTTAGTTCTTATCCAAAAGATCTATCACTGGAATTGATATTTTGGAAGTCAGATACCTATGGGATATGACTGCTACATTTGAGATGAAGGTCTACATTTTTAGGTTAGTAACAAGGTTATTACAAATCCGAAAGGCTATGGCAAGATAGCAGCATTTGTTACATATGAATTAACAGTTGTGACAAGGGAAATAGTTCCTACCATGATGACTGAAATGAGGGCTTACAGGATTGATCTACTGCTGTTGAAAGCATCAGCTGAAGAAAGAAGCCTGCCACGGATGATAATTATTTTAATTGACAGACGGTCAAAATTTTAATCAAGCGCCTGACACTTAGCTTGGATTACCAGCAGACATATAACCACATAGAGCTATGTATTTAGGTCTTGTTTAGTTCCTCCCCAAAAATTTTACACCTTATTCCATCGAATGTTTGGACACATGTATGTATGGAGTATTAAATATAGACTAAAAAATAACTAATTG